ACATTTTATTAGGGGCTCATACAACTGTTATCCCAATCCATACACACATCAATTGTGTAAAGCGTATTTGTACATCATTTCTCAAAACATTTTCTCTGTCTCAGGACCTCTTGTGGGGTCTCCCACCCCTCATCCCAAAGGGGCCTTGGCAGAAGCTGCGTCCGTGGCCTGTAGCCACCACCCATTAACCCTGTATTTGCCACCCCCTCTTCCTCTCCTCAGACGGGCTAATATGCCTGAGAGGTTAAAGGAAAGAGGAAGATAAGTGTGCAGAGAGAAGAGGAAAGAGGAGTGGGCCTCAGCCGAGGCTTCTGCACCCTGTGTTTATCAGCTGAAGATGAACTGAAACCTAGTTCTGACTTTTCCCAAGAATACGGTCCAGAGAACAGGGCAAGCCCCATCCAGAAGGACCAGAGGAAATCCAGAGAGGCCGGCAATGAGTAATAATACAAGCTTGTCTAAAGAACGGAACCGCCTTGAAGGCAAAGAGTTCCCACGAGAGTTTGGATTATGTCTTCTGTAAGGTCTCCCTGAAACCTAAGATGGAATAAGTGCCACTTAGACTAGCGAGGCACTCTTCCAGTGCAGACCCGCAAACCAGGCTGGCTACCATCGGAGCCGTCAACACCATTCCCAAGTTCATTGATCCGAACCAAGAGACATAGACACCCCAGAAGGCAATGTTCCCTGAGCTGCTGCTCCTATTTCCAAAGCTCCACCTAGTGGCCTTACACATTGACACTAGTCCAGCCTGGCAGAGACAATGACACCCCCCACCAAATATATATAAATAACACTGCCCTGTCTCCTTCAAATTTACTAACTTCTCTCCAAGTGACATACTATCCAGTGGTTGGAGGCGGTGACCTGGTGCTCCCTCTTCTTTGTGTTTGAGGTTGACTTGCTAGTGCTCACAGTCAGTGTTAACGTTATGTTGCCAGGCACTTGATGCTTGCCCCTATCAGACCCACGCAAAACCAAAACACCATACGCCTAGTTATATTCGTCTCCACACGACTCTATTCAATGTGACATACAAGCATTTATTTTAGGTCTCTCTCTCTCTTTTTTAAAGCTCTTCAAAGAAGGCATGGTCACAGTGTCCTTCTGTCATGTATTTAACAATTTTAGGGCAGAGTCTGCATGATCCAGTGGTGCTGTGACGGAAAGACTGCACGCAGGTGGCTTTAACAATGGGATTTATTTCTCATTGTTTAGGAGACTGGAAGTCTGAATGCAGAGTGCCGACTCTAGTGGAAGGCTCTCTCTCTCCCTCTTTCTCTCTCTCATGTTGAGGAAGACCCTTGCTAGGTGGTTCATGAGTGATCTTTGTGTGGTGTGGCATCTAGCATCCCTCATTTCTGCGCGCTCGCTTGTTTCTTTTTCCTCTTTTAGATCTCTAAAGAGATGAACTTAACACACTCCCTACACGATACTAAGTCCAGCTTGTGCCTAGGGCAAACCAACGACGAGGCTAGAATGGGGCTCAACGGAGGAGGAGGAGACAACTCTTTATGAGAGCAACTAATAAGAGGTCCAGTGGGCTTTCCCTGTGGGTACGTGCCAATCCTTGAAAACGGTCGGGCATAGTGAGTGACTATCCACGGATTTCGGAAGATAGGAGAAGACAGTCTTCAAACACAAGGCCATCTCACCAGAAGA